CAGCAGACGGGATGGGTGCCTGCCTCTGCAGGGGCACCATCAGCGGAGAGGTCGGAACCAGCCAGATCCTCCAGCATTTCCTGGCCTTCCCTTAGACCAGGGTTGGTCCAACAGCAGAGTCCCTGCGAGTCTCAGCATTGAATTAATTGTGCTCGGACCATATCTGCTGAGCGGTGGCATTTCCCCTCGTAAAAATTACTTGGTGCTGCCCCAGTGTTCACACAGCAAAGCTGACATGGATGGTCACTGAAGGCACTGGTCTGCGTTCCTGTGTGTGCCTGGCTTGGCCTGTCCCCTGACGCCATGGGCTTGTGTCACCTGTGGGGGTCCTGCAGGGTGCGACGCAGAGATCTGAGCTGCTATGGGGAGGGTTGAGGTCTCCCACTGTTCTGAAGGAGACTGCTTTGACCCCTGTCTCTTGTCTTGTTCTCCAGGCAGGATTACCAGCACGGCATCTTCCAGTCCATCGGCTTCAAGGAGTTCCACGAGTATCTCATCAGCGAGGGGAATTGCTCGCCCGAGACCAGTGCTCTGCTGCTGCAAAAAGGTGAGAGGAGCACCCTGCGTGCCCTGCGTCCTTCAGCCCCACGCAGCTCCAGCTGATGCTGCATAATGGTCTGAACCAAGCTCAAACCTTGGGGCAGGTCTTGTTGGGGTTGAGCTGCCCCTTTCTCACTGCGTTTTCCACTTCTGCCAGCCCAGGGGGGCAGGGACTCCTTTTCCAGTGCTTGGAGAGCATCTCTGAGCACGCCCAGAGCAATTCCTCCCTCCCTTCCCCCAGGCCTCCTTGCAAGATGTACTGGGCACAGCATGACTTGGGATCCGGAGCTGGTCCACCAGTGACCTGGGTGATGGGATCCCAGCTGGGATGTGAATGTTGTGGAGAAGGAAGGAATGAAGCAGAACTCAGCATCTAGTTCAGCAGCAGGATGGTGGGAAGGGATCTAGGGATCTAGCAGATCACAGCATGAGTCAACAGTGATGCGCTCTTCGATGGCGGGTGTCATTCTGGAGTGTCTGGACTGATGCGTTTTTGTTAGAGGAGAGAGCTGCTCTGCTCCTCAGCCCAGCGGAGGTCCCAGGCGGAGTCGGTCTATGTTGAGGAGGGTTCAGTGCGAAGTGGAGATGGAGGCTGAGGAAGCCACAGAAATCATAAAAGGCTTGAAAACAAGTCTGGTGCAGAAGAGTCTTGTTGTGTCTGCTCAGGAGATGATTATGGAGGGATACGATAAGCCTGGTACTAAATATTGGAAGGTTGTACAGTGGTAAACCTCCGTGCCCACTGTGGTAGGACAAGGAGGCCTGGGCTCCGTTTGCGCAGAGAAGTATTCAATTAGGCATTACGAGAGCAGTGCAGTCCCTGAACAGATTGTCCTACCTGCTGAAAGCTTCAGGGCTGAGGTTTTGGGCCCTTTCCACCCAGTGTTCATTCAAGGGCATTTGGGACACCTTGTCCGGCCCTTCTGGCTGCCGCTGCCCCTACGCTCTGTCTGGTGGGGCTTGGCTGCTTTGCTGTGGTGACCACTTCTCACTGCTGGCTTGGAGACCTCCAGACTGACAGGAGAAATGCTGCCCTTAAGTGAGCATGGTGCCATCCAGCACAAACTTTTGGCTGGTGTGATTTGCTTGCGCCAGAGCTGACAGCCTCTTCTCACTCTGCTCTGAGCTCAGCTTGCAGTGTTGCGCTGATCTTTGGTTTTATTTTTCACTCCCTCTGTTTGAAAGGGATCCAGGCCCTGAAACAGGTGACCAAGAGATACGCCCGGAGGCAGAACAAGTGGGTCCGAAACCGCTTCCTGAGACGTAAGTCCTCTGTTCCTGCCCTGCCTCGCCATCCCTCTTCTCGCATCGCTTCTCATCCCTCCTTGGCACATCCCCTGCTCCCAGCTCAAGAGAGGAGAGCGGTGGCTGCTCTGCTGTGGGGCAGCGTGTGTTGGGGGGGATGTGAGTCCGGCAGAGATCAGACGATCCTGCCTGGATTCTTCTGGCTGGCCCAGGCTTTGCAGGTGTCTGCTGCCAGCCAGATCCCTCCAGGATCCACCCACCAGGCTCTGCCCTGATTGCAACCCGCACATGTGGGAAGGAGAGCGGCCACTCGGCCCTCCTGTGACAGCCCACCCAGCACTGTCCATGTTTATCTCGCCCATCAGCCCAGACACTCAGGAAGCCAGCTCCTTCTCACTGCTTCCCCTGTACCCCTGGCTGCCTGTCAAGGGAAGATCTTCCCCTCCCAACAGAAGTGCCATTGGGATGGCTAATACCCCAACAGAACAAAACAAGCCAAGGCTCAGCCCCGTGGCGGGCAGCAGTAGATGATGATGGCTGCAGCATCCTTGCAGCCAATCCTGCCGACAGCTCCCGAGGGGCTCGGGGAGGGGGTGCCCAGCACTGTCCCTCTCCCCACGCACCCACATATGCTCCCTGTGCAGGGCGAAAAGCCCAGCTGAGAGCTGCCCTCCAGATTAGGAGCAGGAGCCCATCGGCTGCTCTTAGCCTGGGCCGCGCTCACTGCGGTGGCAGGGAGCCAGCAGGACTTCCCCGTCCCAGCCCCAGCCTTGGAGCAGGGCCAGCAGCAGCAGCTGGGAGCCGGGCACTTGTTGAAAGGTGCTTGGTAGGGGCAAAACAACAATAAAACAAACAAAAAAAAAAAAGCAGGGAGAAACTCGAGTCAAAAGACGGGCTTTGAACGGGGTGCAAGAGCTTTCCTGGAGCCATGTGCTTGGTGGCTGTGGCTCACCTTTCTGGTGGCAGGTGTGCTTCAGATCAGCCCTGTCGGGAGCTTGTTTGTGGTTACGGCAATAAAAAGCAGCACCTGCTGGAGACTGGCACACGGCAGCCTTTGATGGCTTTGTCCGAGCGGGGCCGTGTGCCCGATGCCTGCGGGCAGGTGAGCCGCGGCGGGGCAGCGACGTTGCCGGAGGGAGTGGGCGCTCTCTGATTGCAGCTGTCTCGTTCTGGCTGGGCTGCAGCGAGTGCCCTGTGCCCTCACACCGGGCTGGGGGAGGCCGAAGGGATGGCTTTGAAACTGTGCCTTGTCAAGTCGAGGCATTAATAAAGCATCTCCCACCGTGGCCTGCTACTGGGAGCTGGGAGCGTTGGCCCCTGCAGCTGCACAAGCAATTACAGCTCTGAGTGGGAACCTGCACCCGCGGATTCCTCATCCAGGCTCCATGCCTGCATCTCCTTGTAAGCTTTGTGTGATGGCTTTGTGCCTGGATCGAGCTTTTGATCTTCTGTGGCCTCCTGTGGACCATGGCCGTGATGAAGTGTTTGCTGTTATGATGGGCTGTCGGTGTGCTCAGATTGCATAATGCCGTCCTGAAGGCAGACAACCATGAAGATGCTTGAGGTCTTGGGTGTTCTTGCTCTTTGCAAGGGTGGTGCCCCCCAAGCTGAGGTCTCTGGTAATTTTGGCTCTGGAAAGGCTGGTGCCGTTTACTTCTGAGTGCTAAAGGACAGTTAGATATGAAAGAGCAGATCCCCCTGGTCACAGCGTAGCCCCGCGGGTGCTGGGACATGATGCTGGGGAGGTTCTGGTGGTGACCTGCCTTTCTGTGTCTCTGTAGGTCCCGGGCCCAACGTGCCCCCGGTGTATGGCTTGGAGGTGTCTGATCTCTTGCGGTGGGAGGAGGATGTGCTGAAACCCGCTCTGGAGATTGTGGAGAGCTTCATCCAGGTACCGGGTAACTGGAGTTAACACGTGAGCTGTGGCTGAGAAGCCAACTTCTTGATAGTCTCCAGGCCCTTAGTCTCTCCCATGAGCAGGGCTGTCTGTGTACATGTCCAGCCTCGGGCTTTCCTTGCAGTGGCAGAGGGCTGTTGTCTCAGCTGAAAATTTCTCCTAATGCCCAGTACTCTGCTTGTCTTGCATGGTAAAACCGCAGCGTCTGTCCTGCTAACCTTAGTGTCTGGGTATGGCAAGTTCAGAGCCCAAACTCTACCAAAGTGAACGCAGTCAAGCAGATTTTTGTAGTAGAAACCAATTTGAGCCATTATTTAATCTACAGGGACGCGAGCCCCCAGCAGAGCCTGTGAAGATGGAGTATGATGTAAATGAGAACAAACGGAGTCATCGCGTGTGTGAGCTCTGCGACAGAGTCATCATCGGGGACAGGGAGTGGGCAGGTAGGATCCGATGAGAGGAGAGGACCTGGGGGGGACACAGCGAGCGCAGTTTTGCAGAGGGATGAAGCGAGGCAGTTCTCCGGAGCAGAGCGGCTTCCTTGGCTGTCCCCGCTTGGCCGGGTGACCCTCAGCACATGATCTTGGGCTTTCAAGGATTGTTTACAGCCCGTGTATGAAAGCAGCCATTTGCAAGCCCAGAGGGCATGCAGGAGCTGTGCCACAGCAGCCATCTGTCAGGCTTCCCCCCCTTCCCCGGCACCCAGTAAACACTGCCGCTCTCCGCCGTCACGCCAGACGTGGGCACCTATACGTAGCATCAAACCTCAGAGCTGTCCGTGTTCAGTCAGGGCTGCTGGTCCTTTTCAGCGCTTTAGAGACTTTGTCAAATAGCACAGAACAAATTTGTTTCTTCTAAAATTTTGTTGTGTAAAATAAAAGTTTCTTAGTGTTTTTAATAGCTCAGTTTTACTCCAATATCTCCTATTTCTGTGGGGTTTTTAAAAAAAGAAGTATTCCTAGCTGTAATGGTAATAGAAAGGGATTTTCTGTTTTCAGTAGACTTACTTTGAAAGAGCTCAGTCAGAATCAGATTGACTCAGTGAATTTATCTGTGCTGTGAGGCTCATGCTGAGAACCAGAAACAAAAAATAGCGGAGAAACTGGCTGGAGAAACGAAACTGGTAAATCTCTGTGTGTTGCCCAAATGCAGCATATACAGACACAGTGCAAAGATAAATTTCCCAGGTCGTTGGTCGTCGGATTTGAACAAGTCGCTTGTTCCTATTGACCCAGGGAGCTGCTGAAAGCAGGGTGGAAGTTGCCTCAGAATTGGAAGCTCGTTGTAGTGAGTTCAGTTTGTAAGTGTAATTGTTATTTTAGCCAGTCTCAGCTGTCTCAGCTTGGAGGTGCTTGGAAGGAGCTCTGTCTACTCCAGAACTAGAGGACTCTGAAAGCCATCAGAGTCCGTGCTGTCCTTCCAGGTCCAGCAAGTTTTGTGACCGAGTGGGAACTCCTCAAGATCCCCCCAAACACTACAGCTGCAACTACGTGTCCTCTAGGGCTGTCATCCCACATTCTGACAGATGATGACAAGACCTTTCCCAACCAAGACCAGCTGTTGTTCTCTGCATCCAGCTGAATTTGGCTCAAATCCGCAGATGGTGGGAGAAAAACGGTCCAAAACCTGGGTGTTACTTAACTGCAAAATGTAAAAGCTTAAAGGGAAGTGAAAACAGTAGTGGGAGCTGAGTCGATCAGCAATCTGGTCTGTTTTCTTAAGTCAAGTTACAGATAGTTCTGGGAACTGCTTCCCAGTACCCCCCTGGCTCTGGAAGATTTTTAAATTTTATCTAATTTTACAATTTGTGTGGACTGAAAAGAGCACACCTCCCCAGACAGCAGCAGCAATCAGTGCTTCTTCCAGCCGCTCTACGCTTTGGTGTTGCTTGCGACAAATTGTAGGAGGTGAGACTTTATTTCAACCTGCGGGTGACCCTACAGCATTGTGATAAAGCAGCAGCTTTGCATGTAATTTCATCCTTTGGCAGAAAAGGATGACTGGAAAACACCTGAGGGCCTTGATTCAGTGAGCACATACCCTTGTTTAATTAAGGCCCTGCTTGAAAAGTTTGCTGCTTTAATTGCTGCTCTGATCTCCTGGAAATAGCAAAACCGCCCTGCTAAGATGGTACATCGGTCTGGTTAGACACAGCGCCTTCTACTTAGATAATACCACTGATACAGGAGGTTTTACTGTCCTTAGCTATGTGATTTCAAACAGAAATGCAGCTCCTGCTGCCCTGCCGTGTCAATACAAGTTGCATCCTTGGGATTATGCCTCTGTTCCCATCCAACTC